CAGCACCTCTCTTTCTCTGACGTGTAGACTATCATTTGATCCCCGCCAAGATACTTGCGGCAAAATCCCCTCTTTAAGACCTGCGCATTTCTTTCTCTCCGTTTTCTCTCCTCCGACTCCTCTCGTTGTAGCCTCATGAAAACTCCCTCTACGTTAACGCGATACATTCAACTTCGCGCGTTAAACGAATTTGAATAACATCTTGTAAAATTTCATAAATCTTATATTTATTTTCTCCAATTCTTATTTAAATTATTCAAATAAACGTTCAACTCTAATCAAATAACAGGATGGCGAATAAATACTGCAAATAAATTATTGTTCCACTGTTATCTTTCCATCGCCTTTTCTTTCTCTCATAATTCGTTGCACTTTCATAATAAATGGTTCATTATGATCGCGCAACACTTCGTATGACGGCATTCTTGAGGAAGGATTATTAATACTACAATTACACGTAACGCTTCAATATACCTATAGCATTTCCGATCGCGCACGTTTAAATACTTACAACAGCTTCCCTTTGAGAATAAAGGAATACTATATATGTATATACGTATTAGTTTCCTTTAAATATTGAATCTTTCTACGTCAAGATGTAGGGGAGACCAGGGACAAAAGTATATAAATCTAGTAAAATACTTGTCTGCAAGTAGTCGTCTTATGCTTATAAATTAAAAGAAGTTAGTTAACTGTGCGCTAATCATCAATTGTTAATAGAATATGTTTCGATAACGCAGAGCAATTCTCGTCACTGCCTGCTCAATTTATGCAATTAATATTGCTGTATGGCGACCTTGTGTCTATACGCAACAACCTCGCGCAACTGCCACGCAGCGTTTACGCAAAAATAATTACCAAGGCCATTGTCACTTTGTGATTTTCTCCATGAAATATTCAACATATATTGTTAAATAACTATCAAATATATTCTACAAACAAATATTCTCTTATTGCTTATATTTTAAATTTCATTGATCATTGATTAAACTGCCACAACGTATTTCACGCTTTATCGTATAATAATAAAAATTAGATAAGGTAATCTCTCGAAATTTTTTTGGAGTTTAATTTCACTTTAAAGAGAGGAAAAATTGATCTTTAAGAGTGAGATTTCGCTTTTCGGAATAAGATTCACTCTGAAAGCTTTGGAGAGTAGTTACACGTATATATAATTCTTTTTATACAAATCAAACATTTTCTTACTTCTCGATTTCTCCTTTTTTCCCCTTTTTTGCGCGAATATATTTCAGTATATCTCCGTTTTCGTACGAGCTACATTTTATCTGTCCACCGCTCGATCCTTTCAGAGGTTGTTACCTGAATCCGTCGCGGAGGGCCGATTCGTATAGAACATATACCAACCATGGCGATATTACGATCGCTTGGAAAACGCGTATCCGAGACAATGGAATGGCTGTGGGTGGCAAGACTTGCGAGAATTCATAATATCTATTACCCTATATTTCCTGGCTTATCTTGGGTTTAGAAATGCTTAATACTTTTGTTTATTATCAATATTTGTTTAACCATACGTTGCAAAAATTAAAATTAAATATATAAATACAGGACTCTTAGTATTTAAAATATATGAAAAGATAAATAAGAGTCAAACATCTATAATTACAAACAAATAAGTTGAATCAACGCTAATCTATTGACAAATCCATATATAAATTAACAAACAAATTGAAAATTAATGAAATAATAAGAAGCTTTGGATAATATGAAAAACATAAGGGCTGTTTTAACAGCTGTATCTTATTGTTATAGATACGCTTTTTCATATTATCCAACGCTTTTTATTAATTTTCAATTTGTTTGTTAATTTTTTATTTATATATAAATTTGTCAATACATTAGCGTTGATTCAACTTATTTGTAATTATAGATGTTTGACTCTTATTAGTCTTTTATCTTTTCATTATATCGCAAAAATTATATATCAATGTATACTTTTTATTTTCATCACAAATAGTTGTTATACAATAGTACCTCAAAGGAAATAAATATCAATCAATCAATAATAATAATAATAATAATATTATTGGTACTATTGTATAACAACTATTCGTAGCTTAATTAAGAGAAAATGATACTAAATTAACAAAAATATTGAAAAATAAATATGTAAAAGTACATAAAATAAAATGGAGTGACGTCATTAAATAGGCACTCGTTTTGGCTAGAACGAGAAGAAGCCCATATCCATGGACATGTGTATACATCTAGTTGGTGAAATCTGTTCTTTTTTTAAATTTGCGATGCAAAACGCACATATTCTATGCATCACACTCAAATAGATTGCATAGGTATGGGGAGGCTGCACATATTCTTAAGGAGATGTGTATCCTATAACAATGAATCGTGTAGGCGGCACAAGATTCACGTACCAAAATGGACGCGGTGCAGTGTAAGAGATACCAATGTATCGGACTACGTATACTATTTTCGTTCTTAACAATACCATGAAATAAATTCTTGACGTACCACAATAGCATTATGATATCAGTAAATATCGTTACGAAATCTATATTGCATAATAAAATCGCGCGCGGGGAAATTGCTTTCAACTCATAATTGTCAATTATTACCAGTGTTTTTCATTATCTCGATAAAATTATCTAGATAATCATCTAGATGAAGAAATAGCCTTACTTTATCTTCATCTAGATTATTAAGAATAAAGATTATCTTTATCTTATCTTAAATAAAAGAAATGTTATCTTTTTCAAAACTAATCTAAGAGATTGTACAAGAGTGGTATTATAAGAAATTAACTTCCAGTATAGTAGTAGTAGTAGTGATGAGGATTTTTTTGTTCTATAATATAGACAAAAAAACTAAGATTAGTGCGACATCAGTCATTTAAAGATATATTGAAGTACTTTCATATTTAGAAAATAAATCTAAGGAAATTCTTTATTGTATCCACACATCAATCATCATCAGCGGCAGTAGTCAGTAGAACGCTTCTTTAGTTGTAGACCACAAATATTAATTCGCATGTAGAAATCGTTTATCAGACGAAATATTCGAACAATTTTTGTTCTTAAAAAATAAAAATTTATAAAAATATGAAATCGCATTTTTTGTATTCTTAATTGTTTTACTATCTAATAGTCACTTAAAAATAAAATTATCTCTTATATAAAAATTATCTAGATATAAATTGTTTTTAATCTTATCTTTTATCTAGATTAATGTAAAATTAATCATCTTTATCTTATCTAAGATATATTTTTGTGTGATTTATCTTATCTATATCTAAATAATTTTTAATTATCTAAACGCAACACTGATTATTACATTACAAGCAAAAGACTTCTCATATATTTGCTCAGTCATCTCGACAATAATGCGAAAATTCCTTTAATTTTAAGAAAGTAATTCCTTCAATGTTAGTGCCTACAATCATGGGCGTCCACAGGAGGGATGCAAGAAGGGGCATTTGCCCCCCTTAGGCGACAGGCGCGTGCGCGCGCGCCGAATAAAAGCTTGTGAAATCTTAACGTGCCTTTTGCCCTTTTCATGCTGATACTTGATGCTCATTTTTTAAATTAACGATTCAGAGTCGTCGATATTATTCTTCCAATTTTAATCAGAGCCTCGATCAATTTCGCGGAAACAGCACTTCAGATATGTAAGATTATCGTTTGCCTTTTTTTCTCAACTGTCTGTCTGGTTTCAGGTATACTCGCGAAAGGTATAGTATGATTATATCAATACGGATCCGAAAATAGATTTCGCTTTAAATGCCTACTGTCTTTGTGGAAATTCGAATTAGCTGCGTATATAATTAGCCATCATATAATTATGATATAATCATACTACTTGAAAATTACACGAAATATGTAAAGTTTATGAAAAATATGCATTTTATGCAAATAATGTTTGATTCATGCAAATATGCATTTATGCAAAATATTCAGTTAAATATTTTTGCATAAATATCCGCAGTCTAATAATTATATACGTATAATAATAATATTATTATTATTATATTAAAAATGTTGTCCCCCTCTTGGAAAAAATCCTGTAAACGCCCATGCCTACAATATAAAATACAAAAAGCGCAAAGTACAGCGGCCGCAAGTACTTCGCTAAAGGGAATACTATGAGAAATTAGAAAACTGGAATTAATTCTACTGTAACGTCTCGTAATGGTAAAAAATCTATATATATTTTACATTCGATTAAATTCAACAAATTTGTTACGGTTAAAATCGCATACCATATATTAATATGCATAGCAAGAGCTAAAAAATATTTTACAGCACACACGCTAAAACTGGAATAAAACTAAATACCCATTCGATCAATGTTCTCATTGCCTGTCATAAATTTTAGTCGAGGTTCGAAATACTGATCGCTCAAGTAAGTCCACGATCACAAAATCGTTCCTTTACACAGGTAGACAAGAGAGAAGAGAGGCCCGACGACGGCTAGGATTCGGCATTTATTCACGATCAACCTTGGTCTCATGGGCGGCCCATGCCGCATTAGCTCGTCGCCTTACATGACGCTTGGCGGGATCTCAATATGCATGGCCGGTTATCGGCTTTAAAGGGATCATTAACATTATCTGCCACAGGATGTATTATTGCCATATTACCAGCGTAACGATATATCTTTCCATGGTAGCAAAATGAGATTGCCGGCGGCAACCCTTTAGCAAAGTACTTACCGCCGTACTTTTGCACTTATATTTTATATTGTCGGCATTAACACTGAAGGGATTACTTTCTTTTAAAATTAAAGGGATTTTCGCATCATAGCTGTCTTATTATAAAGATGATTGATTATAATTTATGAATATTGAAATAATACGCGGACCGCAATTAATTATGATTATTAAGAATGTTAAATGCTACAAGTTTAACAAAAATTTATGCTACTTGCCAGAAGTATACAATATTTAAAATGCTCTTTAGATGTTATTAATTTTCGGGATATCAATTTATTTTCGGCAGATGCGACGGTGGTAGCTTTCGAGGAGGATGTTCCACGGGGGCGGAAGTGGCGGGTACGGCGCAAGTTCCGATTACCAGCAGCAGTCCCAGCAGCAACAGCAGCAACACGGGCAGCAACTCCAGGCGCCTGTCTACGTTCCATCGTCTAGACCAGCGATTCCATCTGCAGCCACAGCGGCGCAATATCATTCCTTTCCTACTTCGCCCTCGCCAGCATGGTACAATGACCTTTGAAAATCATACGTGCGTCACGCGTGCTTGAAATCACGTTGATTAAATATGTTGATTAAATATTCGATCCGTTGAAGGGAAAAGACAGCATCCTGGCAACATGGAGTGGAAACGTACGCGGCGCATCACGCGCTCGCTGGACACACAAGCGGTACCGCGGCGGCAATGGGTCCGCACGCTGGACCAGGCCATCCTCACGCGGGACATCCGCACGCGGCGCATCCTCACTCGACTCTCGCCGCAGCCGCGGCCGCGCCGTTTTATGCGCAGAACGTCGCGATGATGTCCTCATGGCGCGCCTACGACGGTACTGGATTTCAACGTGCATCGCCTTATGGTTCGTGTACGATTTTTTTCTAAATAATGTGCTTCTGCTATGTGAGTCTACTACTCCTACCTCTGTAAACAAAGATAATTTGTACACAATGCGGCAAAAGTAAATGGTCTTTAACGCTAGCTTTTCAATAGACATTCTGATAATAATTACAACTCTTGTGCACGTTAAATAAATAAAATATGATAGAAATATAAATAATGTCAATATTCTGAAATCGAATGAGAAAAAGTATAATTGGAACGCGTGCGGTCGTTTTAAAAAATTAAATCAGTATCGAATATCGAAGTTAACAAATAATTTTTTTTAATATTAATTAGATAAATATTAATCAGTATGATTATACTAAGTAATGATATGAGTGTTGTGCTATTTTTATTCTGACGTAAAAGTATCGCTAATATAGCTGAATTAGCCTTCTTTGTTACACTTAAAATTTGTTCGCAATGGCGCGGCACGTGAAAACAGAGGTGCTCATATCGCTTTTCGTTGGCGTGCATCACGCGTGAAGTCACAATGATAAACAAACAAAAGTTATGGGAACTACCCGTATGCCGCGGCGATAAGATATGTAGGCATGCAATTTCCTATGGTGCCGATTAGTTTATCGAAACCGCAGACGATATCACACGAATGGAGTTCGTAAAGGAGTACTCGTGGAATTGTCAAGTATACGGTTTCTGTAGTGTTACTTAAACTTTCCTTTTAGAGGTAAACCTTTTATTTTCATGTCATCGAGAGCTTTTCTATCAAATTTTTTCTTTCAAAGCAAATCATGCGCAATAATAGCAACCGCTTGACAAAATTGTCTCATTTAATTTTATAAGATCTTATAGCTGAATGTTATTCGCGGACACTTCATTAATATGTGAATCTTTTAACGATATTCAACAATAAAATAACGTATTAACGCGCGTGAAAAGAAACATTTAACTTGGTGATTAACGTTGACTTCGTGACAGCACCGCTCGAAAGATAAACGTTATATTGAGGCGAGGAGAAAGAAGCTACTTTCCTTCGCGGATGTTATTTACCACCGTGCACGCGGCGGGCCATGTGTGACGGATAAGTGATAGCGGCGCCTTTGAAGTGAGCCGGGTCGATCTCGCGGTCAAGTGTTTTACACTTTACAGCGTAGCGACGGAGAATCGGTGCAGAGAGCCAGCGCAGGCGGATGCTTGCTCCGGAGGCTCGGGATTCGGAGACAGTCCGTCGCGCATTCTCTGCCACGTTTTGCCATCTAACTGTAAATCCCGCTACAGGCGTCCTCGAGACGTTTAAATAAAATGTAAAAAAAAAGAACGGGCTTATCTCATCAGTTCGGCGCGGATAAACCAATCTCGAATTTTCACAAAAAACGAATTAGCATTAAAAGTATGGTACATGATACATGAAAAGAAACTTGGCAGAAGTTTCCAATCAATATCATCAAAATGAAATGCAAAAATCTCGTTTTTTGCGACTTATTGTTAGTGTTTAAAATCTTCTTAATCTTATACGCACTGTTAGAACGTTTGCTGTATATAGTTTTAAAATTTCAACTGATCAGTTTTAACCTCTACTGTATAAATTACAATAAATATTAAATTAATTAATTATTTGTTAAATAAAATATGAAAATGATTACAGACACCGCGATGGATTTCCAATTTGGTGAGGGTCGCGAATGCGTTAATTGTGGCGCGATATCGACGCCGCTCTGGCGAAGAGATGGCACCGGTCATTACCTTTGCAATGCATGCGGACTTTATCACAAGATGAACGGCATGAATAGGCCGCTGATCAAGCCCTCAAAACGCCTGGTAAGTTCATCCACAAAAGATTGCCTATGTATGTACCTATACTCATTTTGTGAAGAGCCGTCTTTCTATGCCGTACCCGCGAAAAGAATCTCATCTGACTTTTAACAATAATTTTTAAACAATATAATCAATCATAATATAAGGGCAAAGTAAGAGTCAAAATAAAATAGAACTGATAACAAATTTACTTGTAAAATAAAATTGTAATAATTTTTAACATGAAAATGTTACTGATTTACAAGGATACTTTTCAAGTATTTTCATATATTAAGTTATGTCACATCCTTATTATTAACAGAGCGTCTTTTAAAAGAGGCATTTGTTTGATTCTTCTAAGAATACTCTGTTTTTTGTTTTTTTTTACAATAATCGCATTTGCATTTGAGCCGTCTTGACGTGTGTTACAAATGGGACAGATGTCGGAATTTCAGACTGCAACGAGGCGACTCGGGCTGTGCTGCACCAACTGCGGCACTCGCACCACCACCTTATGGAGGCGCAATAACGAGGGTGAGCCAGTGTGCAACGCTTGTGGATTATACTTCAAATTACATGGGGTCAATAGGCCGCTAGCCATGCGAAAGGATGGTATACAAACACGAAAGAGAAAACCGAAGAAGACTCCAGAACAGAACGCTAGATCGTCCCAGGGTGATCATGAAAGCACTGCCTCGACTACATCCTCCCCTTCTACAGGTAAAAAATTGTTAAATCTTTTTTCTTGTGTGGGGGGAGTAGATATAGTATATATGTATAATATATA